AAGCAGGTTCAGAAGGTGAGGTGACCTCCCCAGGGTCACACAGCAAGTGGAAGGTGAGTCAGGACTGGAAGCTGGGTTTCCAGCTCTCCAGCTTCCCACCCAGAACCTCCTGGCACCTCCTGACACACAGTGGTTACTCTGGGAGCAGTCGGGGGCAGTAGGCTTGACCTGACAGTCCCTCTGCTGGCGGCCTCCAGGTGCAGGGTCAAGTCTGACCTCCCAACAGGAACGTGAGGGCTCTGGGGCCAAGGCTGTGGACACAGGCTGCGGAAAGAGGAGAGGGAAGTGCAGGGACGCCAGTCTACGGGCAGGACTCCTGGTTTTCAAGGGACAGAATCCTAGGTCAAGTGGACTGAAACAAAAAGGGGCTTTATCAGCTCACACCACCAAAAAGTGCAGTGGTTGGGGGAGCTTCAGGTGCGGCTGGAACAAGGCACTCAGTGGTGCTCTCAGGAACCTGTGTGTTTCTGCCTGTCAACTCTGCCATCCCTTAGCTTTACCTCGGACAGTATCTGCAGTGCTAAGGCTGGTGCCTGGTGCATAGTCACCTGGTTTCGGCAGCTCCACGCCCACTTCCTACCAGCTTTGCAAACCCAGTCGAAAATCTCTCTCCTTCCCAATGTTCCAGCAAAGGATCCAGAATTGAGTCTGAAGCACCCAGTGAAGGTTGTCCATCCACCTCTGAGCCAGTTATGGGGCCTGAGGAGCCCATTTGTCTCTCCTTGACAGGCCTATGTCACAGACCCACCACTCCCAGATCCTCAAGAACCCCAAGACAGGAAGGACAGGATCCCCCAAAGGAAAACCAGGAGGTGGGGCCCTAATCACCACAAGGGGTCTAGGAACCGAGTGGGAAGAAACTACAGAGGAGCAGAACAATGACTGCCTGTCCGGCAGGCAGGCCAGCTGGCTGGACCTGGGCCAGCTCTTCCCAGCAGACGGGAGTCTGGTTATCTGAGAGGATGGGTGGGTCCCCCGCACACCGGCGGAGGCTGTCAGCCAACCGCACTGCTTGCAGCCAGACGGCTGGTTCTTCCTTGAAGAGAAACCCAAGCAGTACACCTCCACAGGGAAAACACTGAACATCCCGGGGGTCCAGGCGGGAACAAGACCCTCCCATACCAGCTCCAGGGAAAGAGGGCTTATTGGAAGGACTTGGGCTCTCCCAGAGCCCTGGGTGGGAGGAGCTTCTGCCCCAGGCACTCTCTCTCCCACCGCCACTGCCTGTCGGCCCTGTGTGCTCCCTCTCACAGCCCCTCAGCCCCAAGCTGTCCCTGACTTCTCAGCCCTGCGCTCGCCATCCTGGTGTCCATCCGACCTCCTCATCCCCTTTCCAAGACAGAGCCTGTTGCTAACTTTGCCAAGCCTCAGCTTCCTCATCTGAGATGGGAACTGTGAGGGGTGAATGAGACGTGGCATGGAAAGAGTTCTGGCACAGCGCTGGTTGCGCAGTCAGTGCTCCACGGAAAACATCTGTCCAGCCTGTGGCAGGGGTGGCCTGAGCTCAGGGATGAGCAGCCGGGGCCTGGCACGCAGCAGAGGCTTGAGCAGTGCGAGTTCCCTCTCGGTTCAGCCTATAGGGGCTGGAGAGGAACCAAAGGAAGCAGCCTCAACCCCCAAATTCCCCCGAGCTACAGCTTCCCCTTCCTTGCGTTGAAAATGGTTGTTTCAGTTCCAGCTTTAATTCCTGTTGAAAAGGAGGTGAGAAAGGGAAGTGGAAAAGAGAAGAGAGATCAGGTTTCCCACCCTCCCTGTGCCCTCCTCCTGCCAGGTTTCCCTGGCTCTGCAGCCGGCCCGGTAGTGTGATCGTGCGGCTGAGCTGAAACTCCTCCGAAAGGGGCGAGCTCCGCTGCCTGTCCGCTGTCCTCCAGGTGCCAGGGAGGCACTGGCACGGGGAACTGGCCTCGGGCTAGATGCCACCTGGGACAAGGGTGGGCTGGTGACCGGAGCACAGAGGACATAACGGTCCTGCCAGGTGGGCGCCCTGATGAGCCCTGTCCATCAGGCAGAGCCCCGGGCTCAGGGAGGGGAAGTGGCTCGCGTCGGGGCACAGAGCAAGGTGGTAACAGATCCCAGCCTGCCTGACTCCTCCAGGGAAGGAAGCTGAGTCTTGACCCCCATCCTGAGCCTGTGTCCCGGGCTGCTAAATTCACAGTTCAGGGGCTAGGCAAGGGGGATTCCAGAGCAGTTTCCCAGCAGGCAGGCGAGCCAAGGCTGGGGGCCTCTTCCCACATCCAGCCTGGTCTGGGCTGGTTCCTGGCTGTCTGGCTGTGACTCAGGCTTCCAGCTCTTGCCTCTGGTCATCAGGCCTCCTCATCGCTTCCAGATATGAGGGCCTTGGGGGTGAGGACAGGGGAGGGGGGCGGCCGAGAAGTCCTCTAAAGGGTATCCTGAGACCGTAGGGTCCAAGCCACCCAAGGAGTTTCAACCCTTGTCAGTTCTCCCTTATGTCTAAGCCGAATCGCTTCTTCTGCGGCATAAATTGACCCCAAGGATTGTTGCCTGAATTATTAAAAAGTTGCCCCTCTGTGAGAGGGGGACCTCGTTCGGTGCTCCTGCTGATGGTGTGCATGAAGGGGAAGCGGGTGGAGGGCACCTGGGCTCGGGGTGGCACCCCCAGGGCCTCTACCTCGGACTGACCGGGCTCAGCACTGGCCCTGTCATCCTGCCAGTGTCCAGTGGCCCTTGGGAGCCACACTGACCAGGAGAGGACCTGAGAACAGGGCTTATCTGCGAATGATTGGGAGAAAGGCTGGGGAGGGGGTCAGCAGGAGAGGAGTCTGGGAACTGCCCCTGACCTTGTTCAGAGCCATCCCCCACTGGGAAGCCCCTGCCGGGTGCAGACCTGCCAACCAGCCGGGGGCTGCAGGTGAGGCTGGCCATGCTGTGTAGTCTGTTGGCGCCATCTCATGGCCACAGGCCCTCAGTGCAGGGAAGACACTCCCCTGGGAGTCCCCAAACTTGAAGGGAACATTGGAAAAGGGGGCTATAGAAACAGAAAGACCCCATTGAAATGCCACCTAGCTGTGACACCTTGGGAAACTCATTGGCCCTTCCTCAATCTTAGTTTTTTGCCTATAAAATGAAGAGAAGAATATCTCCCACTCCCACCCTCCTACAACTGCAGATAAAGCATCTGGCACACGGTAGGCAGTTAAGAAATGACACTTAACCCTGACCGGAGTGGCTCAGTTGGTTGGGCATTGTCCTGCAAAATGAAATGTCACTGGTTTGATTCCTGGTCAGGGCACAGGCCTGGGTCTCAGGTTCAGTCCCCAGTCAGGGTGTGTATGAGAGGCAACCAACCAATGTTTCTCTCAGACATCAGTGTTTCTCCCTCCCTTCCCCTCTCTCTAAAACTGAATAAATGAAGGGAAGGGGAAGGGGAGGGAAGGGAAGGGGAGGGGAGCAGAGGGGAGGGGAGGGAGAGAAAAGAGAAAAGAAAAAGAAATGACACTTGGTGCCGAGGCCCCGGAAGTGGTGGAGGCTGTGGTGGGCCGAGGGCACCCAACACGTGGGCATTTACTAGGTGGGGCCTGGAATGGATTCATTCAGTTAGCGAATGTTTACTGAGCACCTACTGTGTGTCAGGGCACCTATATACAGGGTTTCATTTCACTTCACTCCTGCACCAGCTTTTGTCATAGGTGCCAATGCTCATTCTCATTTCACAGACAAGAAAACTACAGGGACGTAGGTGAGGATCACTCAGGGAAAGTGGGAGACAGCACCCCAGGCTGAGGAAAGAGCTTGTGCGCAGGCTTGGAGGCCGGAAAGCCGGGCGGGGAGGATGAGGCTGGGCTGGGGGCAGGGCACGGGGGCTCTGCCTGGAGGTTGCAAGAGGGCCAGCCCCTCGGGCCTCCCGAGGGGCCTCCTCCTCACACGACTCATCCTCTGCTCTGGCTGCGATACTGTTCTTCATTTCTCACACAAGGGGGGCCGCTCCCCACCTCTCTGCCTCCTGTCTGGGATGTCTCTTCACTTTTCAAAGTCCACGTGCTCTTGGCCCTTTCAGGCCCAGCAACAGACCTGTCTTACCCAGGAGCCCTTCCAGGTCACTCCAGGTGTGCGGAGTGACACGTGACATCTGAGCTCCGTCCCCCCCCCCCGCCAGGTGACAGGAACTAACTCCCAAGCCCTGCCAGGAGACTGGCATTCCTAGGAAGCCCTTGGAGCTGTTCCCATTCTTGGGACACGCAGTGCCCCCCCCCCCCGTGGGGGTGACCCCAGGAGTTCACCCTGGGAACCCAGCAGAGGACTAGCACAAGCAGTCTCCAGGCAGTCCTGCATATGCAGTAGGTGCTCAATTCATGCACAACTGACCAAGTTTTTACAGTAGCTCAAACCTGAATTTTCTTGGCTCGGTCGAAACTTTGGCCCCAACTTGGTTCCTCAATCTGCTCGCCTGTAAAATGGGTTTGGGGGTGAGGTCAGTGCTTACACTGGGCCCTCCCTCTGGCAGTCCCCCTCGCAGCCTGCTGTGGCCAGGATGACCACATTCTGCTAGAAGGTCAGAGAGGGAAAAGGGCTACTCCGGAACCACACGGTAGGTAGGGGCTGGTGGGTAGGGGCCGCAGCTCTGCGTCCTGGTCTGGTGGTGAGGAGGAGCCGGGGGAGAGAACCTCACTCAGGTGAGCCCTCAGAGGCATCAGCTCCATCCCACAGCTCACACCCATGGCTCCCAGGAGGCTCTGGGCCTGCCACAGGAAAGGGGGGTCGTGACTGCTGCAGGGGAACACGGGGGAATATCTGAGGGCATATAATGGGTGCGTAATCAGTGCTTTCGGAGAAAAGGAAGAGAGCTAGAAGGGGAGGCAGAGGGTGGCTGAGTAAGTGAGTGCGTGAGTGGACGGCCACGGAGAGGGCTGGGCACGTCGGCCAGTGAGCTGTTGGATCCATGGGGACAGCAGGGATGGAGGGAGACGGGGGTAACTGGGAAGGAAGGTGGTTCTGGCGGTACAGCCGAAGGCTGGTTAATCGCTACGCTGTCTGTTTGACAGGTGAGAAGACTGAGAAGAGGCTGCGGAGAAAGGAAGCTGCTGGGTCTGTGCGGCTGCCCTTCGACCAGCAGCCACCGGTACCCCCTCGCCCCTCTCCCTCCACCCCCCACCACCCTCTATCCGCCGCTGGGGTGGGGGAGGGTTCCGGGAAGGGACCTTTTCTCCACCTCCTGTTCTTCAAGTCCCAGTTTCCGCCAGGCCTTGGTGCTAGGGGTGTTCGGGCGGGGCGGCCCCCGCAGGGGCTATTTCAGTCAGAGACGGCCCTGACAGGAAACAGAGGAAGCTGCTGGCCTGGTCAGAGGTGTTGCAGCCCGGGAGGAGGGCAGGCGCGCGGGGAGCCTCACGTCTGGCTTCCCCTTGGCTGACACACGTGAGACCAACGAAGGTGCTGCTTCGGGGACAGAAGGCGGCAGGTGAGGGGCGGTGCGTCCGGGGCCACGGCCCGTGCGGAGCGGGGCTGGGCCTGGGCACAAGGGACTGTCACTGTGGGCAGGCAGGCTGGGTTTAGCGCTGACCTAAAGCAGGTCCACAGAGTTGGGGGTGCCCAGAGGAAGGGACTGCACCTCAAAAGCAAGATTGGATCTGGAGCTCGATGGACACTTGGGGTTGTGAGGAACAGAGTTGGGTTGGGTGGCACTTTGTGCGGAGAGAACAGTACAGATGAGGAGGCTGCAGAGGACGTCTGGATTTCTGGCCGTCTCGGTCTCTTGGGAGCAGCGTGATGAGAGAGGAAGGGCCAGGTGCAGGGGCCTGAGGTGCCCCAGACAAGGCTGGGAGGCTCGGCACAGCTGGACTGTCAGGACTGGGGTTTGAGCTTTTCCTCCGGAGGACGGGGGGTGCAGCAGGGAAGGAGGTGGTCAGAAGCACCTGCTGGAAAGCCCCCACCACTCAGTGGCTGGAGCCCGGGAAGAGGCTGGGTCCAAGCTGGTCCAGGCCTCAGGTCCCAAGACTAGGTGACAGAGGTGAGAGCCGGAGGAAGCCGAAGTCAGGTGCCACCGGGAGGCAGGGGCCGGGCGAGCTCTCCCGGAACCCGCTCCTGCTCGGAGCTGGGAGAACAGCTCACCCCTCTACGTCCTCAGAAGGCAGAATGGATGAGGGGGCCAGGTGACCGCCAGGCCTGCCCTTCCCGGCACTGACCTGCAGGTTTGCCCTGGATCCTCTCATACAGCTGTGCTCCCTGCCCAGAGAACCTGACTTGCTGGGGCCGGGGGGGGGGGGGGCAGACAGGCAGAAAACGACTAGAGTCCCCAGTCACCTAAGTCAGAGACCTCTCTCTGGGGTGGTGTCCAAGGGCAATAGGACTCTCAAAGGAGGGTTCAGGGACATAGCACCGTTCTTCCACCAGCCTCCTCCTCCTCACCACGACCCTCCACCCCAGCAGGCTGCTCTCCCCTCAGGCCCTGCCTGCTCCACCTTCCTCCCCACCTAGAGACACCCCAGGGGTCCTCACACCCCTCTCAGCCCAGGGAGCCTCTCCCCAACCATCAGGGTCTTGCTCCATCCTTCAGCCTCCTCTGAAAAGGCTCTTCTGTCCTGTGCTTGCACTGGTCTCCCCCTTCAGACTGGCATGTGTACACGGCAGGGCAGAAGTAGTTTAACAGTCATCAGTGTGGAAAATAATGCAATAATTAACAAATAATAATACAAGAATATATTTTGTGTTTATTCCTATAAACCTGCTTTTGTTCTACCAGGTATACATATAAGTATAGGTAAATGTGTATGTGTATTTCTATATCTATCTACCTAAGTCTAATCTACATACTGTGTCCTCATGCATCCACCAAGCAGTAAATACTCACTAAATGCCTAGCATGTGAAAACCAGAAAATGAATGCATGAACAAAAGAATGGCCTGAACAATGAGTGAAGAGATGAGTGATAAACTTTCTCTTGCCTGTACTAATGTTGTCTTCCTGGCTACAGTGGGGGCGCCACCATGCTTCCTCCTTGGCCTCCCCTTGTGCCTAACTGGTAGGCTGGGCACCCGGCACGCCTAACTCATGGGGCCACAGAGAATCTGTGGTGATGAGAGGCGATGTGCCATGTGAGATACAGACTAGAGAATCCAAACATCACCATTTTGCAGATGCCCAGAATCTGGGTAAAATATTTTTGTCAAAATGAAATTTTAAGTTGGAAGAAATTAGTATGGGGAGTTATGTGTTGCTCTAATATAACTTTTAAAAATCTCGCCCTGGCTGGTGTGGCTCAGTGGATTGAGCACCAGCCTGCAAACCAAAGTGCTGCTGGTTCGATTCCCAGTCAGGGCACATGCCTGGGTTGCAAGCCAGGTCCCCAGTGGGGGGAACGTGTGAGAGGCAACCACACATTGATGTTTCTCTCCCTCTCTTTCTACTTCCCTTCCCTTCTCTCTAAAAATAAATAAAATCTTTTTTTTTAAATCTCATAACTTTACTAAGCAGGTATACTCACATTAAGAATAGCTAGCCCTGGCTGGCGTAGCTCAGTGGATTGAGCGCAGGCTGGGAATCAAAGTGTCCCAGGTTCGATTCCCAGCCAGGGTACATTCCTGGGTTGCAGGCCAGAACCCCCAGCAACCGCACATGGATGTTTCTCTCCCTCTCTTTCTCTCCCTCTTCCCTCTCTAAAAATAAATAAATAAATAAAATATTTTTAAAAATAAAAATAAAAAAAAGAATAGCTAACACTTGCCCTGTGCCACACACTGGTCTTCCCCACAGCCCTGCGAGGAAATGGGCTGTGGGGAATGTTATAGATGGGGAGATGGAGGCAGGGAGGCTCAGCAGTGAGCCGAAGGCCACACAGCTCTCGTGTGGCAGAGCTGGTTGTTTGAACCTGGCCATCTGGATCACAGCATCAACCCTCTGGCACCCTCAGAGTGCGTCTGCAGGGCTTTATATTTTTTCTGGGCCTCAGTTTCTCCAATCTGTAAAACAGGGAGAGGGGGGGATTTGACTCACTATCTCAATGGCTTTGCCTTATGGGTCCATCGGAGTCCAGCAGCAAATTCTCTCTGGACACCAGTAAATGTGGACGTGCCAATTGGGGGGTGAGCATCAAGAAGTCAGACTTGTCCCACCAGGGGCCCCTTAAAGCATTATGCCTGTGGTTCCCCCAAACCGCAACCTGAAAGGATGAGTGGAGGGATTAGGGGTAGGGTAAAATGGCATGGCATGGCACTTATTAAGCACCTGCTGCATGCCAGTCCTACAATACATTTTACTGATGAGGACACAGGCCCAGAAAAGGCAAGTGGCATGCCTTGGGTTGAACAGTATGGAAGAAGGGAAGCCAGGATTTGAACCAGGCCTGCCTGATCTTCTGAAGTTGGGCTAGGAACCTCTGCGTTCTATGTTCATGGGCTACACTAAGCTGCCTCCTCTGAGTCAGATGGCTGGGCTTGGGCTCCAGCTCAAACTAGGGCTCTGCCTCTAATTCACTGAGTAAGATTAAGTAGCCGCTGCCCTTCACTGTGTCTAGATTCCAACCTCCCGCCCCCGCCCCCGCCCCCGCTGAGGTTGTCCTCTGCTATTTGCATTCAGGGAAGCTGTTTTTACTCTAGCCACCGGAGGGCGCTGTGGCATCAATGGCTCTACCAGACGAGTCTGCAGCCTTAAGTCAGTGGAAGGCTTCTTAGGGAACTACTGAATCCCTCCTTTCCTCATTTTACAGGTAAGAAAAGTGCAACCAAAAGAAAGACCGTGGCTTTGGAAGGTGGAGTCCTGGCCGAGGAGGTAGACGCTGTCCTTGGTCAGCTCACGGTGTGTGGACATTTTGTTCATGTGGATTCATTAAGAGTCGCAGTGGCCCTCTGTGCCCTGGACCCCGGGGCCGGGCTCTCCACACAGACAGGCGCCCGCCTTGGCGCTTCTCCTCAGGAGGTCCCTGGTCTGTGAGGAGAGACAGGCAGGCAGGCCCACCATAACCACAGTCTCCAGGGCACGGGCTCCCCGGGGCAGCCCTGTATAGCACGATTTAGTGCCTCTCACCTTGGGACATCCTGAGAGGTCGGTCACCACTCCCCCACCTTTCAGATGGGAATGCTGAGACTCGGAGAGGGTCCATCAGCAGCCCAAGGCCACATGGCCAGTAACTAAGCTGAGGTGCAAACCAAAGTCTATCCATCTCCACTTACACAGCAGAGACACTTGACTAAGGTTTTGAAGGATGAAAAGAAGTTCACCAGGAAGTCTGGTGAGAAATAAACATAAAAAAAAAAAAAAAGAAAGAAAGAAAGTGAAGTGGATTTCTCCCAAGCTTGAGCTTTATTGAATTCCAGGTTTTTTTCCTCGAAGGGGGCGCTGGGCGGGGCCTCCGCGGGGTGGAACCAGAGACGGCTCGGGTGGGAGATCAGGGCCCAGAGAGGGACGGGGTGGGCGAACGGGTCCCTCACGAGCCCTGTGTTGCTTCTGCAGCCTCTCCAGATGTAGGAAGCCGGTCGGGCAGCCATGGAGTGGCACAACGGCACCAGCCAGGCTCCGGGCTCGCCGCCGACCACCTGCGTCTACCGCGAGAACTTTAAGCGACTGCTGCTGCCGCCCGTGTACTCGGTGGTGCTGGCGGCCGGCCTGCCGCTGAACATCTGCGTCATCGCCCAGATCTGCACGTCCCGCCGGGCCCTGACCCGCACGGCTGTGTACACCCTGAACCTGGCCCTGGCCGACCTGCTGTATGCCTGCTCCCTGCCCCTGCTCATCTACAACTACGCCCAAGGGGACCACTGGCCTTTCGGCGACCTCACCTGCCGCCTGGTGCGCTTCCTCTTCTACGCCAACCTACACGGAAGCATCCTCTTCCTCACCTGCATCAGCTTCCAGCGGTACCTGGGCATCTGCCACCCTCTGGCCCCCTGGCACAAGCGTGGGGGCCGCCGGGTCGCCTGGCTCGTGTGTGGCATCGTGTGGCTGGCCGTGGCGACCCAGTGCCTGCCCACAGCCTTCTTCGCCGCCACAGGCATCCAGCGTAACCGCACAGTCTGTTACGACCTGAGCCCGCCCGCCCTGGCCACCCGATACTTGCCCTACGGCATGGCCCTCACGGTCATCGGCTTCCTGCTGCCCTTTGCCGCCCTGCTGGTCTGCTACTTCTGTCTGGCCCGCCGTCTGTGCCGCCAGGACTGCCTCACGGGGCCTGTGGCCCAGGAACGGCGTGGCAAGGCAGCCCGCATGGCTGTGGTGGTGGCAGCTGCCTTTGCCATCAGTTTCCTGCCTTTCCACGTCACCAAGACAGCCTACCTGGCGGTGCGCTCCACGCCCGGGGTCTCCTGCCCCATTCTGGAGGCCTTTGCAGCCGCCTACAAAGGCACGCGGCCCTTCGCCAGTGCCAACAGCGTGCTGGACCCCATCCTCTTCTACTTCACCCAGAAGAAGTTCCGCCGGCAGTCCCATGAGCTGCTACAGAAACTCACAGCCAAGTGGCAGCGGCAGGGCCGCTGAATCCACTGGGGCAGGACCCGTGGGGCCCGGACAGCCGTAGTCTTTACCACTGTGGCCGGGACACCAGGAGCCTGACCAAACCTAAAGCATGCAGAGAGTTAGAGCTTAGCTCAGCCGGATGTGGAGTGAGGTCCCCCACAGATCCCCGACTCTCCCCAGCTACTTACAGAGCTCTTTCTCTGGACAGGCCCTGTGGCCACAGAGACAGACAAGCCCGAGCCTGGCTCTCCAGGTCTTAGTCAGCCACGGAGAGTTGGGCAAGCCATGTTAAGCTGCTCACAAAAATATAATGTGACGTGTTCTATACCCGAGGAATATGCTGCCTGCTTCGGGGTCGTGGGAGAGAGAGAAGATGGGAGGAGGGAGTGACAGCTTCTGGGAAGAGGCATTTGAGCTGGGTTTTGAGGAATGAGTATAAACTGAGTGTGATGCTTCATTTGTTCAGCAAACCTTTACTGACACCTTGTGCTCAGGCCTGGGTTGGTTCTGGGGCCCGGAAAGAACGAGCCCCAGCCCCGCCCCAGCCCCGCCCCCAGCTACCGGAGTTACTGACCCAGTGAAGGAAAGGCCCCAATGGAAAGGCGGTGGCAGAGGGAAGCTTGGCTGCGGGGAAGGAGTGCCCAGAGGGTGTCCACGACCCAGTCCAAGGAGTCGGGAAAGATCTTTCTGAGGAGGAGGGGTGGAGGGAGGGGAGCATCTGAACCAGATGTTACAGGCTGATGGGGCTCTGCAAAGAGAGGTGGGAAGCATGTCCGTGCAACCTGGGCCAGCCCTGTGCTAGGCTCTGTCCTGGAGCAGGTGGGCAGAGTGAGGTGGAGGGCGTGGGTCCTCCTGTGTGCGAAAGCCGGAAAAGCAAGAGCTGTCTCATGGCTACTCTCCAGAAAATGGCAGGAGTGGAGGCTCAGCAGAAGGAGAAATCAGGGAGTGTCCTTAGAAGAGGCGGGGAGAAACCTAAAAGTCAGGGAGGAGAAGCCTCCTCCTGGTGAAGTCACTGTGCATACAAAACTAGAGGCAGAGACGCGCTGAGCCTGGCCTTAAAGCAAGTGAGTTTCAACTGAGCCCAGGAGGAGCGGGCTGTCAAGAACAGAAGCTGGGTGGGACCAGCATCAAATGCCAGGAAGAGCCTCAGACCCCACTTCTCCTCCACCTACCTCTTCCAATGTACCTCTTTCAGGCTCAGGGTGTCCTCTGTGCTTGGGACACCTCCACCAGCACCCCCCCCAATTAAGGGGAATAACCCTTCCACATGGCTTCATTCTAAAAGAAGTTGGCAGGAAACTTCTCTTAGAGTCTCCTCCAGAAGTCTCTTGTGGAGACTCGGAGCCACCCCAGGCCCACCAGGAGGCTGCTGTGTAGAGGTCCGTGGTCAAGACCTGCTGCCCAGTCTCCAGACAGACGGCTCCTGCGGGGTTCCTCTGTCCTGCCCCCTCAGCTCCTTTATTCTGACCTGCGGGTACCTGGGAGGCTGCCTGGAGACCGTCTCACATGGAAGCATCTCAAATGCACCCTAAACCTTCAAAACTCTTGGAAAGTCACTGGAGGTCCGCAGGAGGCAGCAAAGGGGAATCACACCAGGCAAGGCCCTTCCGAATCCTCTCCTGCTCTCCCTATGCACCTCCTTTCAGCCACACCCCTGCAGATCCCCGTCCTCTCTGCCCTGTTCCCTTGGTTCTCCTCTCCTGCCCCCCCCATACCCCTCCCTTCTCCTCCGGGCCTTGTTCCCCGCTGTGGAACAGTCTGGCCTGCCCGGGCTGCTGGTATACCACACAGACCCCGTGCAGGGCAGAGCCAGCAGGGCAGAGAGTCGTCCTTTTTAGGAGGTGGAGGGAGGAGAGGGAAGGGCAGGGAGGGGAAGGACTGTATAATTGATTCAGTTATTTTCCTTTGAGCCCTGCCTAACCTCCAAGGCTGTTGGGCAACAGAGGCATTCAGAGAAGGACTCTGGAGGAGTGAAACTCCACAGGAATGCCAGAGGTGTGCTTGCAGCTGGTGGAGGAGGTGGGAACGCCAGGCCCAGCCCACCAGGGGAACCTATTACAAGTGCCGTTCCCGGGGAGGCTGACAGTTCAGACAGAAGGAGCTTCGGTTCTCTGGGCCATGGTGAGACAGACGTGTGGGGGTGTCAGAAGACAGAGGCTTGTCCTTACTCCCTACAGGATGCCATGCTATGCCCAGCAGTACAGATGCCGCCCACCTCACAACCTGTTCCGCATCTTGAGACCACACTCTTCAGTTGTCCATGAAGGGGGAGAGGGGGAGGGCCTCTCTCCGCAGCCCAGGCTGAGCCCCTATAAAGACCCAAATGACCGCCCCTGCAGACTACCCAAAAGAGTGGAAACGGGGGCCATGGCAAGTGCCGTCCCCACCCTCCCTGTGCGGAACGGAATAGCTGGAGAGGGAAGGCTCCGGAGCCGGGCCCCTGGGGGTGCATCCTGGCTCTGCCATTTGCTGGCATTGTTGTTCTGGGCAAGTTATTTCACTTCTCTGTGCCTTAACTTCTCTCAATGTAAAAAAGGAACATAAGGAAACCTATCTTGTGAAGTTGTGAGGGTTAAACTGCTTAATATGTGCAAAGCACTCAGAACACAGTGAGCATGTGGTGAATGTTACTCTGACAGTGAGGTCGCCCTTCTGGCACACGAGTCCTGAGTCCGTCTCTAGGGCTTGTCACAGGAGGTTTCTAAACAAGGGACTTTAAACAGGGGGTTGCAACAATTTCTCTTTCTCCTTTACCTGGGAGGCAGCCTGCCTTTTAAGGAAAAAAAAAAGTCAGCATGCTTTTTAAAAACCAAGGGCCACAATCCACGAGCCCAAGCTGTTCCTATCAGGGAGGCCCATTTGTTGCTTTCGGGCACCAGGGACTCCGAGCACCATCTGAAGGGCTTAGATCTCTCCTTTTGTCTTTTTCATGCTCTTCATCCCCCTTCTCCCTCCTCACTTTAACCCCAAGTGAGGGGTAGGAGGTGAGGGCTTACCCTGAGGACGGCTGCTTGCTGCGGTGGGGAGCAGGGGACAGACAGCGGGGTGGAGGTGGAGCATGGTGACGGGCGGCCGGACCATAAGGGTTCAAAGGGGTCCAGGGCGCTCTTTCCCTGGGTTAGAGAAGACTTCCCAGGGGACGGGGCAGTGCAGTGGGGCCTCGAAGGACCGATGTGATTAGCCCGAAGGAGAGAGGGTGAGGGTGTTCCCGGTAGAGAGGACAGCACAGCCACTGGCATGGGGGCTGCTGCGTGAAGCACAGGAAGGGCTGTGGCCTGGGACGGGGCTGGAGAGTCAGAGACGAGCAAGCGCCAGGGAGCCGGTGTGACCACCAGCCAGGCACTGTGTGTTCCAGGCACCATGCAATGTGCTGTACACACACCTTCTCCTTTAATCCTCATAACACCTCCTACTATAGGTGGGGAAACTGAGGCCCGGGTGTGGGAGCGGATGTGCCAGGGTCACACCACCTTTCTATAACCCATATACTAGATCCTTCCAGCCTTATCCTCACTCCCTTCCTTCCCTTCCTACACCTGCTTTCTGAGGGCCCACTGCCCCACCCAGTCCCAGTACCTGGGGACCCCCTAGGAAGCTTTGACAGAGACAGCAGAGTGCCAACCACAAAAGCAATTCTCTTTTAGCTGGGCACATGGCCTCCAAGGATGGAAACTCCACTTCCCAGTCTCTCTTGCAGCTGGGTATGGCCAGAAAACTTACTCCTGGTCAATGGGATGTAAGCAAAGTGCCCTAAGGCAGTTGGATGTGGGAGGAGGGAAGGTTCTTCAGAGATAGGTGGGGTCTGTTCTCTGCTTCTCCTCCCTTCTTGCTGCTCTGGGCAGGAACGTCACAGCTGGAGCACCAGCTTGGACCAGGAGGGCAAGGGTGCCTTCTGTGGCTGGTGGGGCAGAAAGCTGAAATCAGCTGCGTCTCTGACCATTCCAGTTTGGGGCCACCCAAATTCAGATTTCTGCATGAGGGATAAGGATCTATCTTTTTTAAGGCCCAGCGTCTTGGGTCTGTGTTGCCCACAGCCCCTTTATTCGGGTTCCATCCTGAGACTGCAGACAGAGCTGGAGGCTGGGCAGCGTCCTGAACTGGGGTGGAGGCCCCCCTCCACCCCAGTGGGAGATAGGAGTCCACAGGGTGTGGAGACATCCAGGAAGGCCTTCTGGAAAAGGCACAAGGCCTGAGGGGTGATCACCCCACTTTTGGCTGGAATCTGAGGGGGCGGATACGCTTCTTAAAGAAGAGAGTAAGAAGAGGGGGTGTCCGGGATAGGGCCCTGGAACACCAACCTTAGGGGCTGGGGAGGAGGGGGAGGAGCCAGAGCAGTGAAGGTAGAGCCTGGGGGTCTCTGAAGGACGGTGACAGGATGAGGCAGTGGAGTGGGTGGCAGAGGGAGGGGCTGGAGGTAGAAGGTTCTGAGGGAGGCCAAGCTCAGGGAAGGCAGGAGCCAGGGGCACAGGGTCAAGATGGGGGAGCCAGAGCCGGGAACCAGGGTTTGATTGGGGGAGATCTCAGGGGTGCTGGATCTGTCCCAGCAACACCCTCCCCCCTCATTCGTTTAACCAGCATTTTCTGCGCGCCTCACAGATGGTGCTGGGAACACAGGCAGCCCAGACCCAGGCTCGACCCGCTGAAGGAGTCCAGGGGGCTGGGGATGCAGACAAGGAACAGACATTCATCCAGTAAACGTTCACTGAGCACCTGCTGTATGCGAGGCATCATGGGGGCAGTGGGTCCCTGCCCTCTGGAAGCTCCTAGTCTGATGGAGAAGGACGACAATGAAATAAACACGTACACATCTGGGTCATCATAGTCGGAGAGGAGGGACTTCAGAAACATACAGAGGGCCAGGGGCAAAGAAGGCAGCGCTGGGGAGACAATAAGCTCACGGAACAGTCAGGAGATGTTGGGGACCATGGGGGCCCTGACCCAGCTTGAGGGGCAGAGAAGGTTTCTTAGCTGAGGCCCAAGGGGCTCAGAAGGCACTAGCTCAGCACAGAAGGGCTGTTACTAAGTCCGTGACTTTGAACAAACCCCTTCACTTCTCTGAGCCTCTGCTTCCCTGTCTGTAAAATAGCGATAATACTATCAGCTCTCCCCAGGCCACTGGGGGTACTGAGTGTGGAAAGGTTAGGGCAGGATTTTCATAAAATATAACAAAGTATTGTAACCCCAACAGAAAAATGGAGAAGAGGCACATATAGGCACTTCACAGAAAAGGAAATACAGATCATCAAAAAACAGAAAAGATATTCGATTCTGGCCTGACAATGCCGACTCCCGGCGAGCAGCCAAATGGCCCACCGCCCCGAGCACTGCTGCAAATGTGCACCCAGCGCGGGCCCAGTGCCCACGACAGCACTGAAAACACTCGAATGTCCACGCATTCGAGAGTGGGTGGGCACACTGTGATTCACACACTGGAGTTCTGCATGCAGCAGAATGCACCACACTGGCATGCAATGATATGTATAAATCTTGGCAATATGTTTTAAATAAAAAGAAATCCCCCAAATTACATACAGCAAGATGCCCTATTTGTAAACTTAAAAATAATTAAAATTAAAACATATACTTGAAAGAAATACACAGATGTGATAAAACTATATAAGAAGGGAATGCTGGACCCAGGAGGTGATGGTGACCCTGGAGGATGGGCAGCAGGAGAATGGGGGGGGGCGCTATATAATGAGATGTAGGACATTGTAAAGGTCCTAGCTGTTTTGGGTTTTGGTGAGAGTCGATTAAATAATAGGTGAGACTGCGTCATGAACAAAAGGCTATAAATAATTCAATTCTGTGTACTTGAGGTCTAATTATGCAGGAAAGGAACAGAACAGTCTCAGGTCATTTCTGTTTGACTTTGGAGTGGAGTCAGGAGCCAGAGTTCCTTCCTGGAGCTCGCTGCTTCTTGAAGTCCTCTCGCCCCTCATCTTCCTCCCCCTTAAGTACCCGAGGCCAAACACTGGGCGTGACTTTGACCATCATAACTTTCCCATCTTGACTTCTCCAAGGGATTCTATAGCTCTGATGTCGCTGGGTAGACTCCTGGGGCAGACGGGTTACAGTTGCCACTCCCCTCTCACAGGTGAGGAGCCTGAGGCCCAAAGGAAGAGAGCGACCTGCTAGGGTCACCCGGTACATCATAAGCGTGACTGCCTTGGGCCCGCTCCAGCCTCCTGGCACAGTGCTTTTCTCTCCACCCTGGGCCCAGTGCTCCCAGCCCCCTCTTAGACGAGGCTTTGAGTCCTAAAAACACCAGGTCCCGCTGTGCCAGGAAGATGACTTGGTCTCATCCTGAGTCAGAAGGGGAAGACTCACAAGGTGCCGTAAGCAGCCAAGCCACTCTCCGGGGGAGCTCCCCATCGGCAGAGGCCCAGCCCAGATCCTGAATCACCCTCCTCCCCCACCACAGGGGTTCCAGATCCAAAGCTGTCCCCCCACAACCTGTTCATCTCACAGCCAAATTGCAGGACGCTGGGAGCCTGTGACCCAAACCTCCACTCCTCTTCATCGGTCTGCCCATCTGTGAAATGGGAATAAGAACTTCTCTATCCCAGAAGTGACATGAAGAACAGGACAGGGTGTGAAAGAGTTTGAAAAGTACACATTTCAGAAGGTAGGGGACATCATTATTGGAAGAGAGCAGTGACTCCTGGGATGGAGTCCCCCCACCGTGCTACGGCTACCCAGAAAGGTAGAAAGAACACCCTGGAGGAGACAGAGTCTGATTTCAAACAGTCAGAGAGAAGCACCCTTGGGGGAGCCTAGACTCGTTCCTTACTCTTCAGATGCGGTGGCTGAGGCCCAGAGAAGTACAGGAATTTACCCAAGGTCACACAGCCAGGCGAGGGCAGAGAGGCACTAGGCCAGGCAAGGCTCTCTTGCCATCAGTTTCCCAGTGAAGATGGAAAATTGTGTTGGCTCCTTCGAGGCAGAGCTGAGGCAAAGCTGAGGGAATCACAGGAAGGAGGCTGGTCTCAATTCAAAGAGGAGGAGCTTTCTTTCTACAGCAATTCCCCACAACACAAGGGAAGCAGCAGACAGGGCCCCGGGGTCTGGCTGAGACCTCCCTCTCTTGTGTGACAGTCAGGCAATTCCTCAGTGTCTGCCATCCTGCCCTTTGCCCATCCCTCCCCCTGTCATCTGGACCAGGGCCTCTTGCTCCCAGGGTCTCCTGTCTTAGGCCCAGCTCATCTCTTGGGTTGAGGGGACGACCAGAATACTCTATTCCTGGGAGGGTGAACTCAGGTCCATGGAGGAGGAGGCTGCTGGAAACTCAAAGGAGAGAGAACCCCCTTCTTCATCAGGAAGGTGGTCTGGAGGAACATGGTGTTTGAAGCTCCCGAAATCTGAATTTGAGTCATAGCAGGAGCTACCACTTCCTGACTTCAACACTGGTCAAAGTTACTTCTCCCTCATGACCCATAGAAGGGGCAATAATATCTTACCTCCAATGGTGGTTCAAAGGCTAAATAAAACAAATGAAATATCACTGATACATCCAAGGCACTCCATAAATTCCCATTCATTCATTCATTCATTCAGATGTAGGGTAGCTGTCATGCATTTAAACTGGGGCAGGAAGGTGAACGGGGGCCTAGCAGTGGCAGGGGGGAGAGGGGAAAGCCCCAGTATCCGACAGAATTCGAGACTTGCCAGACAAGTCTCCTGGGCAGATACTTGGGGGCAGAAGTAGGAGCTCACAGGCTGGGTCAGACAGTGGTGTCCCACCTTCTGGCGTTTCTGGGCCACAGCTAAAGAAGAGTTGTGTTGGGCCACACATTAAATACAAAAACACTAATGAAAACAAAACCAAATCTCATAATGTTTTAAGTAAATTTACGACTTTGTGTTGGGCCGCATTTATAGCCACCCTGTGCCGCTGTTTGGACACCCCCAATAGAAACTTAGCTAGAAGCAGTAGAAGAGATCCACACCTTCCCAGTAGGAGGGTGGAGCAGCGGCTGGTAGGAGTGTAGGTTTGGCAGTGGCAAGTCGAGCGAGTTCCTATGAAGCTCCTTTTGTATGTGATTGCACTTCAGGAAGGGATTAATTTTAAAACGGCTCCTAAAGAGACTAGGAAAGGACTGAAAAGCAGTAGAGGAAGTGGTCTTTCCAACCCTCTGGTTTTCTAGAGGTGGGTGCTGTTTTACCTACCCAGGATTCCGCGGGGGGCGGGGGGGGGGTGGGCAAATGCGGCCGGTAGAGGGCGCAAGAGTCACGTAATCTGGAGCGCGGAGGAAAGAAGAGGCCCGGCGACCGGCTGGCTGCAGAAAATGTGACAGAGACCTGGTTAAAGGGGTGGGGCTTCTGGAGAGGCGTGTGCGAGTTGGGGGACTTTCAGAGCTGGACAGGACCAGAGGTGGAAGGGGCGGGACGTTTGGTGGTGCGAGGGGCTAGACGGGGTCGCAGGGACTGCGGGACTCTCGGAGGCCCAAGTAAAGGGCGTGGCCTTGGCCGAATGAAGAGGTGGGGCAGGGAGTGGCAAAAGCTGGAGTCCGCCCGCAGTGCCCATTGCTCCCCCTGGCGGCGATTCCTGCTCCTTTTCCACCTGGGAGAGTCGTGTACCTGAGTATAGGTGTGTACGAGTTTGTGGGTCCGAGGTTGCCATGTTGGTCCGGGGGCAGAAGGTGTTTCCGTACGAAAGTGGCTGAACCGCAGCGGGGGCACCGCCCTAGCTGTCTGTCCGCGGACCTTCAGAGCTTGCGTGTGTCGGAGTGAGTCCTTTGGGGATAGCTCGGGCTGTGAGGGTCGCTTCAATCTGCCTGTGCTCAAGCAGTCGTTTCTACTTCGGCTCCTCCCCAATTCCCTCCCCCTACTCCTGATTCCCAGCCTAGTGCGCGCGGGGAGCCCACCCCCTCTTTGGAGCTTGAGGCCCCGCCCCCCCGCCCCCTTTCCTCTGCCACAAAGTTTATTTGCAACAAAAGGGAGCGAGGATCGAGCAGACAGGAGGGAGGGAAGAGGAGCTGGAGCGGGAGCGCGAGGGGCGGGAGGCAGGCACCCGGCTGGCGGGCACAGAGTTGAGGAAGGGATCCGGACTGGGCCGGGCCAGGCCTCGCGCAATGCTCCGGGCTGCACCGGCCGGGGTTGGGGCCAGGCCTGGGGGTTGGCACTGAGGCGGGAGGGGCCGCGCGGGATGGAGCCGAAGCCGCCCGAGGCCACAGAAACTTGAGCCGTAGCAGATAAAGCTCTGCTCCCGTCTCTTGCGTCCTCTTCCCGAAAACTCCCGCGACTGCGGCTGCAGGACTCAGGCCTTCGGATCCCGGCGGCTGCGCTTCTTCGGGGCGGGGACGCAGGGGGGGGTTGGCCGCGGTTCCCGAGGCCAGCCCCCCCGGAGTGAGTGCCGCCACCATGGCGGACGGGGCGCCCCGGCCCCCGCTGTATCGCAGCATCTCGTTCAAGCTGCTGGAGCGATGGAGCGGCGGACCCGGGCCGAGAGAAGGGTCCACGGACACCCCCGGGCTGCGGCGCCGCGCCTCGTGCCGGCCGGCCGCAGCCGTTCCGGGCCAGCCCTCCCGGCGCGTGTCCAAGCTGGCGTCGGGGCCCCCGGCCGCCCCCGCGCAGCCGCGCCCGCTCCGCAGTCTCTCGCCGTCGGTGCGCCAGCTCTCCCGGCGCTTCGACGCGCAGCGGCCAGACGATTCCGCAGGGGCCCGGGACGGGTGCGTCTCCCCCGGAGCCGCCGAAGAAAAGACAGAGGGCGCAGCGCGCGGGGCCTGGCCCAGCGTCACCGAGATGCGCAAGCTCTTCGGTGGCCCTGGCTCCAGGCGGCCCAGTGCCGACTCTGAGGCCTCGGGGACTCCCAGCCCCGACAGTGCGGCGTGGGAACCCCCGGCTCGGGAGCCCCGACAGCCACCGACGCCACCTCCTCGGACGTGCTTCCCTCTGGCTGGCCTTCGTTCGGCGCGGCCACTGCCTGGCCCAGGAATCGAGGGGAGGAGGCGGCGGCAGCAGCAGCAGGAGCGGGCGCAGCGTCCGGCGGATGGTTTACATTCTTGGCATAGCTTCTCCCAACCGCAGGCCGGGGCCGGGGCCTCCTGCTCCTCCTCCTCCTCCATCGCCTCCTACCCTCTCAGCCACAGCCGGGCTGCCAGCTCCAGCGAGGAGGAAGAGGAGGGCCCGCCACCTCTGCCGCCTGGGGCGCAGAGTCCGGCCTACCACGGAGGCCTCTCCTCAGGCAGCGAAGAGGACCAAGATGGTGAGGGCGGCCACTGCTGGAGAGGGAGGCCGGGGCCCAAGTCTGGAAGCTCTCTCTTGGATAAGGACTGCAGGCCAGACAGTTATGGGTTAAATCTGAGCAGCATGGACCCGGCAGGAGGAGCCAGGAGCCCGGAACCCCCAACATCTCCAAGAGCCCCTAGTGAGGAAGGGCCCCGGGAGTGGAGTACTGGCTCACCTCCCTGTATACCAGGTTCCCAGGAGGGACCTAGGCCCTTGTCAGACACTGTGGGAGGAGCTTTTCGAGTGGCCAAGGTGAGCTTTCCTGCATACCTGGCCAGCCCATCAGGCTCCTGTGGTAGCAGCCGTTACTCCAGCACAGAGACCCTCAAAGATGAGGACCTGTGGGCTAGCCGGGGTTCTGGGAGTTGGGGTGTGTATCGTTCCCCTAGCTTTGGAGCTGGAGAAGGGCTCCTCCTGAGGCCCCAGGCTCGAAACCGCACCAAGGGACCTGTGGGCACCACGAGGGCATTGAGGGATGGAGGATTGGAGTTGGACAAGAGCCGGCAGCGCAAGTCCCTGTCAAACCCAGACATTGCCTCAGAGACCCTGACCTTGCTCAGTTTCCTGCGCTCAGACCTTTCAGAGCTGAGAGTCCGGAAGCCTGGTGGGCGCCCCGGGGACCTTGGGAGTGGCCCCTTAGATGGCAGAGACTCACCATCAGCAGGTGGCCTGGTGGGGCAACTTGGGTCCACACCCCCCTCAGCCCCCGCAGCACCTGGCACTCGCCCCACACTCAAGGACTTGACAGCCACCCTTCGGAGGACAAAGTCGTTCACCTGCTCTGAGAAGCCCGTGGCCCACCGCCGCGCACCCCGCACCAGTGCCCTGAAGCCCAGCTCCTCCGAGCTCCTGCTGGCAGGCCCAGGCACCGAGGAGGACCCTCTGCCCCTCGTGGTTCAGGATCAGTACGTGCAAGAGGCCCGTCAGGTTTTCGAGAAGATCCAGCGTATGGGTGCCCAGCAGGACGATGGAAGCGATACTCCCCCTGGAAGCACCGAGTGGACAGGGGACGTGACCCAAGGGCAGCGGTCCCAGGAGGAGCTCTCTGGCCCTGAATCCAGCCTGACAGATGAGGGCATTGGGACGGACCCTGAGCCTTCTGTTTCAGCCTTCTGCAGCCTGGGCACCACAGGAGTGTGGAGACCCCTTAACTCGTCTTCAACCCAGACCAGCCAGCTCTCTGGGGCTGAAGACAGTCTTGGGGGGTGGTCCCTGGTGTCCCCTGATGCCCCTCCCACACCAGGTGCCCTCCGCAGGAGACGCAAAATCCCACCTTCAGGCCCTGGTGGGACTGAGCTGAGCAATGGCGAGGCAGGTGAGGCCTACCGGTCTCTAAGTGACCCCATTCCACAGCGCCACCGGGCTGCCACCTCTGAGGAACCCTCGGGGTTCTCCGTGGATAGCAACCTCCTGGGCTCACTGAGCCCCAAAACCGGGCTTCCAGCGGCTCCAGCTGTGGATGAGGGCTTGACCAGCGGCCACAGTGACTGGTCTGTGGGCAGTGGAGAAAGCAAGGGGTACCAGGAGGTCATTCAGAGCATCGTTCAGGGGCCTGGTGCCTTGGGACGTGTAGTGGACGACAGGGCTGCTGGCAAAGCTCCCAAGAAGAAATCTCTGAGTGACCCCAGCCGCCGTGGGGAGCTAGCAGGGCCTGGATTTGAGGGCCCCGGAGGTGAGCCCATCCGAGAGGTCGAGCCCCTGCTGCCTCCGTCCAGCAGCGAGCCCATCCTTGCAGAGCGACAGGTAGAACCAGAAGAGCCCAGTCCTGCCAGTGGCCGGGCACAGTCTGAGAGGGTCCTGCCTGAAGCCCCGCCCGCCTCCCCCACCGCCCACCCGGACTTCCACCTCGACCCTAAACTGGCTGACGTCCTGTCCCCTCGGCTCATCCGCCGCGGTTCCAAGAAGCGCCCAGCCCGGAGCAGTCATCAGGAGCTACAGAGACAGGAGGACAGTCAGGACCAGCCTGGCGGCCTGCCTCAGACCCGACACTCCTCCAAACACGTTCGCCACTCCAGCGTGCCTGCCACCTTCACGCCTATCGTGGTGCCTGAGCCACCGACCTCTGCTGGCCCCCCTGTGGCCGTGCCTGAGCCTATGGGCTTTCCTGCCAGAGCCCACCCCACGTCCCAGGCACCATCCCTTGAGGATGTCACTAAGCGGTACATGCTGACCCTTCGCTCTGGCGAGGTGCCTGCCCCAGTGCCAGTGGATATGCCATGCTTGACTCCAGTGGTTGCACCGCCCTCTGCCGAGGCCAAGCCCCTGGAGGCAGCCCGGGCCCCAGATGAGCCTGCCCCAGCCAGCAAGTGCTGCAGCAAGCCGCAGGTGGTGAGTGCTGTGAGGGGGGCCCGGGGGGTGGGGCTGAGGGAAGGCTGTGGACACTGACCTCTGCAGGGGCGTTTTGAGAGTGCTCATGGGGCCGGTGTCCAATCTGGGGGTGCTCCCCTGGCCCTGGAAGTGCCCGAGCAGTTTCAAGAGTGTGGATGATGAGGGCTTCTATCTGTTCAGGCCCCAGAGGCTTCAGGCTTCCACTAGTGCTAAAGTCAAAGGTTAGTACCTGCTCAGAGGTTCTCTGGGTGATGATCACATAAGGTTTTAGCCTCGTCCTTCAGCTGTTTCTCAGGGATTGGCTTTGGAGATTCCTGTCCAGTTCTTTGTTTTAAATATACACGGCGATGGGAGAGTAATGGAACTTTCTAAAGAGCCTGACTGTCCTATTAGCCAGGCCCTTGGTAGGATGTTTCGGCGCGGGGGCCCACGGCTGACCTGGGTTTGCCCTTCCTCACATGGCTTTTCTGACAGACCAAAATGTGGGCCTGTCCCTGGGCCTGGGAACGTTGGAGGGGTGCAAGGCACTGTTTGTGGAGGGGCCGAGCGGGCCGCACACCACTGGTCCTGGTGGGTCTCTGTGACTTAACCTCTCCATTGTGCGATCGGGGGACCGTGGATGAGGTAGTTCCTGCGTTTCCAAGTGGTGGCGCCCAATTTTGGGGGAGTCTGTGGGTTGGGGCCTGAGGTCTGCCGGGGCCTCTCAGGGAGGGCAGAGTCGGGGAGTAGGTTGTGGGGCTCAGCAGGCAGCGGCCCTGAGGGGTTAAGAGAGGTTCCAGGCCCCAAGGACAGGGTTGCCTCTGTGGGTCGGGGTGGAGGTTCTGGCCCCTCATCCGGCTGCTGGCATCTTCTCCCCACCCCACCTCCTTCCTGGTGACTCTGAGGTGCTCCCCGCTTCCTCTGCCGGACCCCTGGCGCTGCAGACTCTCTCCTTGAGGCCTCCACTTCTGCCCTCTGTCTTCAGGCGTCCCCGGAGTTTCAGCTGTGGGTTCGGATGGGCTCCAGGCCCTTCAGGCCCTGACATCCAGTTGGAAGCTGAATCTGAGGCTCTGGGTTCTGGTCGTATCCCCGGGGGTGGCCCAGGTTGTTGCAATGATGACCCGCACTCCCACTGTGTTCCCTGCCCGGGTGAGGAGCCTGGAAACCCTAAACCCTGGGCTACTTCGGTCACTCCCATTCCCAGAGCTCTCAGGCTGCCTCTGAATTCTCTCTCTTTGTTTTTCTATCCTGGTCGTTCCTTCCCCCTGGTTCTGGCTCTGGTGTCTCTCACGGAGGCCACAGCGTCAGCAGGCGGGGAGTGAGGCCTGGTAGGGCAGCTCGGTGCCCCAAACCTCAGTGCTGCTGTCTCTGGCACATGGGGGTGCAGGGCGGCGAGAGCAGGGCAGCTTCTGCCAGGGGCCGCTCCCCAGCTGCCTTCCCCATATAATTATCTTCCCCGGGAGCCTTGAAGGCTAAATTAGGGGAGAGAACAGGAGTGAACCAAGGGACTCAAGGAGACTGTTAGGAGGGTGGGGGTGGGGGGTGCGCCTATGAAGAGTCACTGAGACCCAGAGAGGAGGTGGGGTTTTTTGCAGCATTCCCTCCTGGTCGGCCCCCACCCCATTGTCTCCCTGCCTGCCTGACCTCACGGAGGAGCTTGGGGCCCCTGCCCTCCAGGGGTCTGTGTGGTGGGGCGAACCTGCCCATAGCGGGCTTCTCCCTGCCCCAAGGGAGGCGCTCCCCAGCCTCCAGGGCTTCGCCTGCTCGTCCTCCCACGTTTCCAGGCCCAGCCTGGTGTCCCCCTTACGCCTCAGGGGAGAGAGCCGGTGAGTCTGTCGCAAAATAACGGGGTTTGAGCCTTGGCTCCGGGTCCCTTGGGTCAGTGCCATGCCTGCTCTGTGCCTTACTTCCCCTTCTGTGAAAAGGGGGTAACGGTCTCCACCTGACCGGCTCTCGTCCAGTGAGCGGTGGGTATGATCGCTCTGTCCCTGGGGGCAGGACAGGGAAGGGAGAACAGGCCCCATTGCCCCCCACCCCAGCTGCTTCTGGTCGCCAGCCTCAGCCCCTCCCCCTGCCGCCTGCAGGTTTCCGAGCACAGGGCCAGGCACCCCGGCCTCAGCCTGACCTGACGGGCTTGAACTGGCTCGGAAGAGATTCACCGTCCCGTAGTTCCCCACCCACTCATACACATCTGGAAGTTCTCCCATCTGCTGGCCTGAATCTCTCCTGCTGTCCCTTCCTTTTAGCTCCAGAAAAATGGGGAGCAGCCGTCTACTCCCTCCTGCTGGCCTCCACGGAGGAGACAATGTTCCCTTGTTTCAGGCCCGGGACCCCAGTCACGCTCCCCGGGCTGTGGGTGGAGATGGTGTGGTGTGGGCTCCCAAGTAAGAAGTGAAAAGAAGAGGCTTTCACACTTTGCTGATGGGGCAGAAACCAGTGTGAACCAGCTGGCAGCAGCCCCCAGGGCAGAGGGGGCCCCTGCCCTGACGCCAGGCTGCATGGAAGTCCCTCAGAGTCAGGCCTGTCCCAGCTGGAAGTGATATTTGCCCTCCGTGTGGTGTCGCCGCCATTGCTGGGAGCGAGGAGCCTGGGTACCAGGCCTGGCTCGGCCTCTGGCACTCTCCGGGGCCTGGAAAGTCATCCTGGGTCTTGGTGTTGCCATCTGCACGGCCAAGTTAGACTGCCTGGTCTTTGAGGCTCCCCAGGAAGGGTGGTCAGGGAGAGGAGTCGGGCGTGGCTGCCCAGGAGAGAAAGGCCGGTCTGCGGAAGAGCCTTGAGAACCCAGGAGCCCGGGGAGTGAAGCCGGCTTCATTCTGCGGACAGCTGCTCGCTCGTGTGCTGGGGGGCGGGGGGTGGGGAGGGTGGAGCTGTGGGAGCCTCCCTGCCCTGCCCTGCCCTGCCCTGCCCGCCCACTCCCCTGGGCACTGCCGCCTGGGTCCACACAACCTGATGATCGGCGGCTCTTCCCTCCAGGGCTTCCTCCACCCCGGCCTCAAAGCACTGTCCTGTGGGCCTGCCCGCTGCCCTCAGATACTTCCACTCATTTGACAGATGTGACAACCGTCTCCCAGAAACAGGAGCTGACTTGTCCCTCAGAATCAGGTGGATGGACTCACAGAACTTCAGTGTACTGGAATAGGAGTAATGGTGGCTAACATTTACTAAGTGCTTTCTCTCTGCCAGTCACTCTGAATGTCTCCTCCTTCAAACGTGAACGCTGTGGGAACCTTACAGGGCTGAATTCTCCGGATGGCAGACATAGGTTCCCACCAAATCCTAGCGTGTCAGTGTCTTAGAGGGAACGGGGTCCAAGGGGCGTCTGTTTCCCAGTGGGATTGGCCTGCCGTCTGAGTAGAGGAACAGGACTTGGGGGCCAGGTGGGGGTCACCTGCACACCCCTAACAGCTCGAACACCTTCATGGTGGTTGTGTAACTCTCCGGAGCTTGGCGTTGGGGTGGGAAGAACTTCAAGACTCAGGAAGGAGAATGCTGAGTCTAAGTTCACCCAGTCAGGTGGGGCGGAGCCAGAGCCGGGCACCGGGACCCTGGCCTCGCCATGGAGCACCTGCGCGGCAGACCCAGCCCGCCCGGGCGGCCCCCTGCCCTGCGGAGGAAGGCCTGAGCTGCGGCTCTTCATCACCTTTCTTCTCCGTCTCCTCTTGGCAGGGAACCCACGGGGGTGGGGGTTTTCTCCTCTCCCTCCTTGACTCTTTGCTATGATTTTTCCATGGAAACTGGTTCCGGGAGAGGAGGTGATTAGGACTTTTGGAATTCTGAGTGGTACCAAATATCTATAATTAAATGCCTTGTCACCCAGCAGGGGGAGGGTGGGATGGGGGAGTATGGGCACAGGACTGTCCTTTTCCTATTCCCTGCCCCCCAACTCCTTCCTAAGGGCCCTGGGTTAGTGGGGGCAGTGTGACCCAGGAATGGTTCTCACCCCTCCCTGTGGGGGGTGGGGTGGACCAGAGTCGGGTCTGATACTTTCCAACCCCACGTTTCCCGCTCCAGCTGGGTTTGGAGGCTGGCAGCCTCAGGAATCCTGTCCCCAGCGCCCAACCCAGTGTAAGAACTTGCCCCTCTGCTTTCTTCCCTCCCATCTGTGATCTCTCAGGATACACGTGCCCTCCTCACAGTGCGGGTTGGGGGAGGCACCCCCAGGCTGCCCGGGGAGCTGAAGCACTCAGAGCTTTCAGAATCTGCAAGCAGACGGAAGGGGCTGCAGGATGTTGAGGGACTGGCCCACTGGCCCGTGCTGGCAGGGGAGGCTTCCTGGAGGAGGCTCTGCCTGAGCTTGGCCTTTAAAACTGAAGAAAAGGAGGGATTCTAGGAGGAGGGTGCAGTATGAGCAGAGGTTGGAGGCTGGAAAGAACTCGGCAGATTGCATGCGGTCAGGAGTTTGTCTCAGAGACTTGGGTGACCGTGATAAGGCATTGCTTTCAATCGTTTAGCAAATACCTGCTGAGCCTTCAGGTATGTTGGGCTCTCTTCTAGTCCCTCGGCTACATCAGCAAACAAAGGCCAGGCCTCATGGAGCTTCCCAGCTAGCTTAGGAGACCTGTCTGCAAATGGGTACATTATGTCTCAGGGAGAGGCAGGGGCTGGGCAGCAAAAGACAGCAGGATGAGGGAGGAGAGAGTCACAGGGATGGGGTGCTGTTTTAGATGGAGAGGTCTGAGAAGGCCTCTTTGAGGAAATGAGATTGGAGCAGAGGCCTGGAGGAAGTGAGAGAGCAAGCCAGGTGATGGGACGGGGGGAGGGGCATTCTGGGCAGAGAACAGCAAGTGCAAAGGCCCTGAGGTAGGAGTGTGTTTGAGAAGTGTTCAGGAGGACTGTGTGGATGGGGCAAAGTAGAAGATGGGGTCAGGGGGCTAAGGGAGTGTGGAAATGGGTTGGGACCAGACAAGGCAGATCTCCTAGGTCAGTAGGAGATCTTTGATGTTTATTTGAAGTGAGGCGGGGCAGGCACTGTTGGAAGGTTCTGAATAGAGCACCTGATCTGACTTAGGCCTTTACAGGTC